CCTTCTTCCAGAGTGGGGGCACTCCAATACAGGAGGTGTGTTAATGGCCAGATCACCATGTGTGCTCAGTCCCTGCTCTGATGGGGACCCTGTTTAATGGGGGCTCTTATAGGGACGCTGATGGAAGGTGGGAGTCTCATGTGGATTTTGATGAAAGGAGGACCTTGATGTAAGGAGGGACACTGCTCTGGACTCTTACATAAGGAGAACTCTGTTGTAAGGGGGCAATCTGATGTGGACTCTGATGTAAGGGGGACTCTTGATGAGGATTTAAAGCAAGGCTAGATCTAGCCTGTCTGATGTGGGGGTACCGGAAAAAAAAACGTCAGGGGGCAGAGGATATGAAGTCAGCACAACAGTGTATAGAAGTCAGTAGGGCAGTGTACAGAGGGACCAGCAGGGCAGAGGGATAGAGTCAGCAGTTTGTAGGGCAGTGTACAGAGGGACCAGCAGGGCAGAGGGATAGAGTCAGCAGTTTGTAGGACAGTGTACAGAGGGACCAGCAGGGCAGAGGGATAGAGTCAGCAGTTTGTAGGGCAGTGTTCAGCGGGTTATCAAGGCCGTGTACAAGGGGTAGCAGGACAGTGTACAGGGGTTAGCAGGACAGAGGATGAGAGGTCAGCAGGGCAGTGTACAAGAGCCGGTAAGGCAGTGTGCAGGTGGTCAGTAGGGCACAAAATAGGGGTCAGCAGGGCAGAGGATGGGAGATCAGCAGGGGGTTTACAAGAGTCAATAGGGCAGAATACAGGGGTTCAGTAGGACAGAGGATATGGGTCAGCAGGGCAAAGGACAGAGTCAACAGAGGAGATGCCAAAGGTCAGCAGGGTGGAGAACAGGGCTTATCAGTGCAGAAGACAGGGCAGGAGTCTGAAGGACAGTGTACAGGGGTTAGCAGGATGGAGGATGGGGGTCAACAGGGCAGATTACAGGGGTCAGCAGAGAAGAGGACAGGATCAGAACTGCAACACAGCAGCCAGATATACACTGCAGATTGAGGCCGTGTCTGTAAAGGAATCCGGTCTCAGCTATGTGCTGTGTGGTGAGGAGGAGATCGATTGACTGCCCTGTGTGTGGTGCGGGCTGCGCCAGGGCAGGGTCATCTACCTCCCAGGGCAATGATGACAAACTAAGCCCCCCATGTGGGATCATTCTGTCTCAGCATAAATCCCTCCCCCTCAAAAAAAACCCAAAAGAAACAGTACTAATCAGCACATTGCACTCAAGTATAAATTCTGTCTGAGAGCCAAAATTCTCTCCAAACAATGCAAAACACCCCCTCTTCTAAGTATAAAACCCCCTCCCAGCAATTCTTTGCCTCCCAATCCCACCTCCATTGCCCTCAATTCCCCCCTCCTAGCACAAATCTCCCTCAACCAAAAAAAAAACAGCCCTCCATGCACACATTTCCCCTCACATTTTCCATCTTAGTACAAATCTCCCCAAATTTTTCTTCTTAGAATAAATCCCCATCCCCTCTTCTAGCACAAATTCACCCCCAGTCCCCTCTCGTAGCATAAATCTCCCCATCCATTCTCCTAGCACAACCCCCCCTCAAATATCCCCTTCTAGCAGAAATCCCCCCTTCTAGCAGAAGTCCCCCCTTCTAGCACAAATCCCCCTGCTAATCCCCCATCCTAGCACAAATCCCTCCACTTATCCCCCCTCCTAGCACAAATCCCCCCCATTCCTCCTTCCACCACAAATCCCCCCCCCCCCATTCCTCCTTCCAGCACAAATTCCCCCAATCCCCCCCTTATCACAAATTCCCCTTCTAGCACAAATCCCCCATTTATCCCAGCTCCTAGAACAAATCCCCCCAATCCCCCCTTCTAGCACAATTCCCTCCCTCCAAATCCTCATCCCCCAGTCCCCTCCCTATGACAAATTCCCCTAAATTCCTCCTCCTAGCACGACCCCTCCAAATTATCCTCCCAGCACAGATCCTCTCCCTTTTCAACCTTCCCCCCTCTTAGCACAAATCTGCACAAAATTTCAACCCCCCAGCCCCCTCCTGGCTCAAATCCCCCTATTCCTCCTCCTAGCAGAACCCCCATCACCCTTTCCATCACAAATAGCCCCTTCTCATCCCAGACAGAAATAACTGTTTTACCCCCACACCTCCCCCTTCATTGTGTACATATCACCTGTAAGCTCCCCCCCCATCCTTCCATCTTACAGTCCCAAGGTTCAGGCAGTGCTGTGCTCTCCCCTCCTCCTGTCAGAACAGCGCTGCTCCATATAGTTGATGACACAGGATTGCTCCGATCCTCGGGTTGTATACAGTTTCATTACCCCCCCCCCCCCCCCCAAACCACCCACATTTCCGGCTGTCGGAAGATGAGCAGTCCTTATAGGAGATGGGGGGGGGGGGGGGGGGGGGGGTAGTGAAACTGTGTACAGTCCCATGGTCGGAGCGATCCTGTGTCATTGGCTATATGGAGCAGCGCTGTTCTGACAGGAGGAGGGGACAGAGCGCAGTACAGCACAGCCAGGGGTGGACTGACAACTCATGGGGCCCCTGGGCAATAGGGGATCATGGGGCCCCTGTGTCCTTGCCCAAACTCAAAAAAGCCTATGAAAAAGGTACCAGGAGCATCTCCTGGTACCTTTTTCATAGGCTTTTTTGAATTTAGGCAGTGCCCGAGTTTCCAAATAGTCAGTCCGCCCCTGAGCACAGCACCGCTCCTCCGGGCTCTCTCTTCTTTGTCACTTTCTGGACTTACCTGACAAATCAAGAGAGAAACCAGGAGTGACTGTGTCTTTACCGCGTGCTCACAAACGTACAGTTGTGTTCAAAATAATAGTGTGTTGAAAAAAGTGAATAAAGCTCAAAATCCTTCTAATAGCTTTTATTTCCATCCACACAAATGCATTGGGAACACGACACATTCTATTCCAAATCAAAACATGAAGAAAAATACATCAAATTTGTGTTGTTCCTCTAAAAAAAATTGAAGAAAAGTGAATATTAGACGGTTCAAAAATATAGCAGTGTTTGTATTCATTACAAACTCAAACATTCACTATATAAACTGAGAAATGATTGAAGATTTTGCTTTCCTTTGAATGACTTCATGAATATTTGGTTGTAGTCGCACTGTTTCTGAGAACTGCTGTACATCTGTGTTGCATGGAGTCACCCAACTTCTGGCCCCTGTGATCAGGTATTCCAGCCCAGGGATGATTGGACCACATTCCACAGTTCTTCTCTATTTCTTGGTTTTGCCTCAGAAACGGCATTCTTGATGTCACCCCACAAGTTTTCTATTGGATGAAGATCCGGGGAATGGGCTGGCCACTCCATAACGTCAATCTTGTTGGTCTGGAACCAAGATGTTGCACGTTTACTGGTGTGTTTGGGGTCGTTGTCTTGTTGGAACACCCATTTCAAGGGCATTTCCTCTTCAGCATAAGGCAGCATGACCTCTTCAAGTATTCTGATGGATTCAAACTGATCCATGATCCCTGGTATGCGATAAATAGGCCCAACACCGTAGTATGAGAAACATCCCCATATCATGTTGCTTGCACCACCATGCTTCACGGTCTTCACAGTGTACTGTGGCTTGAATTCAGTGTTTGGGGGTCGTCTGACAAACTGTCTCCGCCCACTAGACCCAAAAAGAACAATCTTACTTTCATCGGTCCACAAAATGTTGCGCCATTTCTCTTTAGGCCAGTCAATGTGCTCTTTGGCAGATTGTAACCTCTTCAGCATGTCTTTTTTCCAACAGTGGGACTTTGCGGGGACTTCTTGCAGATAGCTTGGCTTCACATAGGCGTCTTCTAATTGTAACAGTCCTCACAGGGAACGTCACACCTTCTTTCATCTTCCTGGACCTGATTGTTGGCTGAGTCCGCGCCATTTTGGCTATTCTATCCATTCCAATGGTAGGTTTTCGCTTTCTTCCGCGTCTTTCAGGTTTTGGTTGCCATTTTAAAGCATTTGCGATCATTTTAGCTGAGCAGCCGATCATTTTGTGCACTTCTTTATATGTTTTCCCCTCTCCAATCAACTTTTTAATCAAGGTACGCTGTTCTTCTGAACAATGTCTGGAACGACCCATTTTCCTCCGAATTTCAGAGAGAAATGCACTGTAACCAGCATGTCCAACATTTGCTGCCTTCCTTCCTTAAATAAGGGCAATAATTGCCACCTGTTTTTCAAAGAATGAATGACCTCACTAATAGAACTCCACACTGCTATTATTTTGAACACGCCCCTTTCAATGAGTGATTCAATTACACAGAATCAGCAGCACGCATGTCATGACTGTGGGGTCTGTTGGATTTCTATGACTCTACTACACCTGCTAGGAAATTATTTGCCATGTAGAAATATCATTTCCACCAAAAACAGTGATTGATCCGGTTAGTGATGTCTGACTGCTATTATTTGAACACAACTGTATAATGTGAATTGCTCACTCGCCAGATTTTTTCACCCCAGTTACAGTGGCCCAGTATGCCTTTGGTTTTATAGGGGACAACCCTCTCTCGGTATATTCTCCATTTCTCCCCTAGGAAATTCATTAATGATAGCCAAATGTAAAGGATCACAATATGCCTCCAATAGGATACTTTATAGATATTCCTCCCACGGGAATGCCGCAGGCCATTAAATGAATCAAACAAATGAACAGCTAAGTGTAGTATTTTAATTGAGAAACAATAATTACACAGAAATGCTGATTTTGCACTTACAAGTACAGGATCCTATAGACCGGCACCAATGTTTCCAGCATACAAGGTTTCTAAACCATGCGCTCCAAGCCTCGTATTCCCTCTGCTTGGATGTTCCCGGACCTGGAAGGGATGTATTGACGCTCCGATGTACATTTCGCCCAACGGCGTCTTCAGGAGGTGACGCCCGCCATATACGGGGAGGTTTATATAAGACCAGCTGGTTCCTGATAGGATACCAGTCGGCAGAGACACAGGGGAATGATTGGAGGACTCCGGAAACATGGCCGCATGGCTACATTAAAGAGTTACTAAACCCAGGACCCTGCATTCACTATATCCGCTCTCCCCGGACCCCGCATTCACTGTATCCGCTCTCCCCAAACCCTGCATTCACTATATCCACTCTCCCTGGACCCTGCATTCACTATAACCACTCTCCCTGGACCCTGCATTCACTATATCCGCTCTCTACGGACCCTGCATTCACTATATCCGGTCTCCGCGGACCCTGCATTCACTATATCTGCTCTCCCCGGACCCTGCATTCACTATATCTGGTCTCCCCGGACCCTGCATTCCCTATATCTGGTCTCCCCGGACCCTGCATTCACTATATCTGGACTCCCAGGACCCTGCATTCACTATATCTGGTCTCCCTGGACCCTGCATTCACTATATCTGGTCTCCCCGGACCCTGTATTCACTATATCCGCTCTCCCCCTCTACCCTGCATTTACTATATCCGCTCTCCCCGGACCCTGCATTCACTATATCCAGTCTCTCGAGACCCTACATTCACTATATCCGCTCTCCCTGGACCCTGCATTCACTATATCTGGTCTCTCCGGACCCTACATTCACTATATCCGCTCTCCCTGGACCCTGCATTCACTATATCCGCTCTCCCCCGGACCCTTCATTCACTATATCTGGTCTCCCCAGACCCTGCATTCAATATATCCACTCTCCCCGAACCCTGAATTCACTATATCTGGTCTCCCCGGACCCTGAATTCACTATATCTGGTCTCCCTGGACCCTGCATTCACTATATCTGGTTTCCCAGGACCCTGCATTCACTATATCCGCTCTCCCCTGGACCCAGCATTCACTATATCCGGTCTCCTAGGACCCTGCATTCACTATATCGGGTCTCCCCGGACCCTGCATTCACTATATCCGGTCTCCCCGGACCCCACATTTTCTATATCCGCTCTCCCTGGACCCTGCATTCACTGTATCCGGTCTCCCCGGAACCTCCATTCATTATATCCACTCTCCCCGGACCCTGCATTCACTGTATCCGCTCTCCCCGGACCCTGCATTCACTATATCCGATCTCGGACCCTGCATTCACTGTATCCAGTCTCCCTGGAACCTCCATTCACTATATCCGGTCTCCCGGACCCTGCATTCACTATATCCGGTCTCCCCGGACCCCGCATTTTCTATATCCGCTCTCCCCGGACCCTGCATTCACTGTATCCGGTCTCCCCGGAACCTCCATTCACTATATCCACTCTCCCCGGACCCTGCATTCACTGTATCCGGTCTCCCCGGAACCTCCATTCACTATATCCGGTCTCCCCCGGACCCTGCATTCACTATATCTCTGCTCTCCCCGGACCCTGCATTCACTATATCCGGTCTCCCCAGACCCTGCATTCACTATATCAGCTCTCCCCGGACCCAGCATTCACTATATCTGTTCTCCCCGGTCCCTGCATTCACTATATCCACTCTCCCCGAACCCTGCTGTCACAGAGATGGTCTCCTCCCATCCCCCGGTTTGCTGCCTGCCACCCCCCAGCAGCCCTCACTCTTCTGTTGCCAGCAATATGGCCCCCTGCTGAGGGAGCTGTCCTCCAGCTCTTCAGGCTCGGGGCGTATTTGCCATGATGCAATCAAGGCATTTTTGCTATGCGCAAGCAGTTTTCCCCCTCTCCTTTCCCACAGAAGGGACACTTCTATTGGAAAGGGACAGGGTCTTCTGTGTCCGAAATCCCACTTCGATCCGGTCCCATCGGGTGCTGCTGGAAGAGGGGTGTGCCCATCGTTGGTATCAGTTGGAGGAATCATGTCCCATCGTTGTGTCAGTTTGGAGGAATAGGTGCCCCCAATATGGGAGTGTGCCCCATCAGGGTGTCAGTGGATCTTTGGTAATCCCCATCATTGGTATCATGGGAGGAATAGTGCCCATCATTGGTATCAAGTGGGAGGTGTCAGTAAGTGGGAGGAATAGTGCCACATCATTGGTGGCCGTTGGGGAATAGTGCCCACCATCATTGGTATCGTGTCGGAGAATAGTGTCCCATCAATTGGTATCAGTGGGAGGAATAGGTGCCCCATCATTGGTATCAGTGGGAGGAATAGTGCCCCATCATTGGTGTCAGTAGTGAGGAATAGTGCCCCATCATTTGTGTCAGTGGAGGAATAAGTGCCCCATCATTGGTGTCAGTGGGCAGGAATAGTGCCCCATCATTGGTATCAGTGGGTGAAATAGTGCCCCATCATTGGTGTTCAGTTAGAGGAATAGTGCCCCATCATTGGTGTCAGTTGGAGGAATAGTGCCCCATCATTGGTATCAGTGGGAGGAATAGTGCCCCATCATTGGTATCATTTGGGGGGAATAGTGCCCCATCATTGGTGTCAGTGGTAGGAATAGTGCCCAATCATTGGTTATCAGTGGGAGGAATAGTGCCCCATCATTGGTACAGTGGGTAGGAATAGCGCCCATCATTGTATCAGTGGGAGGAATAGTGTTCCCATCATTGGTATCAAGTGGGAAGGTGCCCCATCTAGTGTGGGTGGAATAGTGCCCATCATTGGTATCAGTTGTGGAGAATAGTGCCCCATCATTGGTATCATGGAGGAATAGTTTCCCCATCATTGGTGTCAGTGAAGAGAATAGTTCCCCATTATTGAGTAACAGTGTGGAGGAATAGTGCCCCATCATTGGTATCAGTGGGTGGAAGAGTGCCCCTCATTTGGTATCACAGTGGGAGGAATAGTTCCCCATCATTGGTGTCAGTGGGAGGAATCTAGTTCCCCATTATTGGTGTCCAGTGGAGGAATAGTGCCCCATTATTGGTGTCAGTGGGAGAAGGAAGTCCCCCTCATCATTGGTGTCAGTGGGAGGAAAAGGTGCCCACTCATGTTGTCAGTGGGAGGAAATTCCCCATCATTGTGTCAGTGGAGAGGAATAGTGCCCCATCATACATTGTATCAATGTGTGAAGGAATTTGTGCCCCGCATCAGAAGTGTCAGTGTGAAGGAAACAGATGCCTCATCATTGGTGGACCAGTGGGAGGAAAAGAGCCCCATCGTATGTTGTCAGTTGTGACAATAGCAGCCCATAGTTGTCAGTCGGAGGCATGCAGTACCCCATGGGGTTGCATTTGAATGGGTGTGGAGCTCTAATTGGATGCAGAGGTGGAACTTAAAACAGGAAGGGGTGGGGCATTGACATGAAAGGGGCAGTGGCAGTTGACATGGGGGGGAGTGGTCAGTGACTTGAAAGGGCAGTGACAGAGACATGGGGGGAGCACTGGCAGTGACATGGGGCAGTGGACAGAGACATGGAGGGCAGTGGGCAGTGACATGGGGGGCAGTGTTCCGTGACAGTGGAGGGCAGTGTGGCAGGGGGAGCCGTGACATGGGGGGCAGTGGGCAGTGACATGGGGGGCAGTTAGGCAGATGAACATGGGGGGACTGGCAGTGACATGGGGGGCAGTGACAGAGACAATGGGGTGGCAGAGCAGTGACATGGGGGGGCAGTGTGGTGACAATGTGAGGACATGGGGGGCTGTGGAGTCAGTGACATGGGGGTTAGGACAGTGTCAGTGACATGGAGGGACAGTGTCAATGACATGGGGGAGCAGTGACATGGGGGTACAGCGTCCAGTGCATGCAGTGACATGGGGGGGGGTGGTGCAGTGTGCAAGTGACATGGGGGGGCAGTCGGTGGACAATTGTGGAGACAGTTGGGGCGTAGTGACATGGAGTGTGGTAGTTGCAGTGACATGGGGGCATGGCAGTGGGGGGCATCGTGTCATGGGATGGCAGGTGACCAAAGGGGCATTGCAGTGACATGGGGTAGAACAGTGGTGGGTGGGCAGTGTCAATGGACATGGGGGGCTTGTGGCATGACATGGGGGTAGGACAAGTGTTGTTGACATGGGGGCAGTGTCGTGACATGCGGAGGACTGTGTCAGTGACAATGCGGAGACTGTGGTCAGTGACATGGGGGACCAAAAGTGGTGAGTGACATGGGGGGCAGTGACATTGGGTGGCAGTGTCGTTGACCATGGGGGGCAGTGGCAGAAGACATGGGGGGAGTGGCAGTTGACATGGGGGCAGTGACATGAAGGGCAGTGACAGAGAAAATGGGGGGCACTGGCAGTGACATGGGGGCAGGACAGAGACATGGGGGCATATGCCAGTGACATGGGGGTAGGACCGTGTCAGTGACCTAGGAGGGCAGTGTCGGTGACATGGGGGGCATGACCATGGGGGCAGTGGCAGTTGACATGGGAAGGAACAAGTTAGCAATGACATGTAGTAGGACAGTGACATTGGAGGGGACAGTGTCAGTGGCATGGGGGTGAGTTGGCGGTGACATGGGGGGGGCAGTGGGGGTGACATCTGGGGGGGCTGCTGTGCAGTAACATTGGGGGGGTAGGTCGGTGACATGGGGAGAACCGTGACATGGGGGGTAGTGACATGGGAGTCAGTGGCTAGTTGCAGTGACATGGGGGGCAGTGTGGCAGTGTCCATGGGGGCCAGTGACATTGGGTGGCAGTGGGGGGGCAGTGTACATGGGACAGTTGCAGTTGACATGGGGGGTAAGAACATGTGTGGTGACCATGGGGCAGCTGTCAGTGAACCCATTGGGGGGGCAATTGGGGCAGTGGAGTGACATGGGGGGATAGGACCAGTGTGTTGTTGTACCATGGGGCATTGTCCGGTGACATGGGGGCAGTTGCATGACATGCGAGAGACTGTGTCAGTGACATGTGGGAGGACAAGTGTGAGTGACCATGGGGAGGGCAGTGACATTATTGGGTACAGATGTCAGTGTCCATGGGGTCAGTGGCGGTTGACATTGTGGGTCATTGGTGGTTGACCAATGGGGGGGCAGTGGCAGTAAACATTGGGGGCAGTTGTCCGGTGTACATTGAGGGGCAGTGGCTAGTGAACATGGGCGAGACAGTGGACATGTTTGGGGTTCAGTGGGCTTTTGACTATGGGGGAGGAAAGTGAGATGGGGGAAAGACAGTGACATAGGGGGAAGATACAGTGACATGGGAGGGAAGACATTGGACATGTGAGGAGGACAGTGACATGGTGAGTACAGTGACATGGAGGAGGACAGAGACATGAGGGGAGGACAGTGACATGGGAGCAACCAGGTGACATGGGGGGGAAATGATATGTAGAGGACAGTGACCACTAGGGTGGGGGGAACAGTGACCTTTGGGGGGACAGTGACCTGGGGGGAAGTGACATTGGAGGTAAGTGACAAAATGGGGGTAGGTCCAGTCTGAACCTGGTGGGCAGGAGAGTGAATATGAGTGGAGACAGTGACAAGTGGGGGTACAGACCACATGGGGAGGGGAACAGGGCCATCACATGTGGGGGGCAGTGAACATTGGGGGAGGACAGTGACATCGGGGACAGTAACATGGGGAGGACAGTGACATGGGAGAGAGACAGTGACAATGGGGAGGACGAGTGACATGGGGAAGGACAGTTGACATGGGGGGCATGTGTAGTGACATGGAGGACAGTGGCAATGAAATCCGGAGGGGGGAAAGAGGATATGGGGGGGGGGGGTAGGAAGTGCCATGGGGAGAACAGTGTCATGGGGGGAAATGATATGGAGAAGGACAGTGACCGGGTGGGGGAGGAAACAATGCCCGGGGGGGGCAGGCCCTGGGGGGAAGTGACAGGGGGAAGTAGTGACGGGGGGAGTCAGTGACATGGGGGGGGGGGGTGAAGGGGGAGACAGGACATTGGGGGACAGTCACGGGGGAGGACAGTCACATGGGGGGGGCATGACATGGGGGGGGGACAGTGACTTGGGGGACTAACATGGGGGGACAGTGACATGGGGAGGAAGTGACATGGGGGGGGACAGGGGACATGGGGGTTTGACGGGGGGGCAGTGGGTAGTGACTCGGGGCGGGGCAATAAAATCGGGGGGGGGAAGTGATATGGGGGGGGGGGGGGCAGTGACAGGGGGGGACATGACAGGGGCAGGGGCATGACATGGGGGGGGGCAGTGGCATGACAGGGGGGCGTGACATAGGAGGGGCGTGACTGGGGCAGTACATGACGGGGTGGCACTGCAGGAAATGGGGGGGCAGTGACATGGGGGAAGTGGAATGACAGGGGGGGGACTGGCAGTGACATGGGAAAGTGAGCAATGGAGGGCAGTGGCGGATGGGGGTAGGATGTGTTGATGACATGGCGGGCATGTCGGTGACAGGGGGGGCAGTGACATGGAGGGATGGGTGACATGGGAGGCAGTGTATTAAGGGGGGTCAGTGGGGTGACTGGGGGGGACAGTGGCATGACAGGGGGAGGACATGGCAGTGACTGGGGGGGGCAGGGCATGAAGGGGGAGGACGGGGGCAGTGACAGGGGGTCAGTGGGGGTGACAGGGGGGCAGTGGCGTGAAAAGGGGGGCAATGCAGCCCTTTGGGGGGTCGGGTTTTGGGTACATGGGGGGGGACAGTGCGGGGAGGACAGTGACAAAGGGGGGGTCATGACAGGGGGGAGGAGAGTGATATGGGGAATATGAATGGGGGGACAGTCACAGGGGGGAGGCAGTCACTGGGGGGGGGGGACAGGACATGGGGGGAGGACAGGACAGGGGGGGGACAGTAACTGGGGGGACAGTGACAGGGGAGGACAGTGACAGGGGGGGAGGACATGACATGGGGGGGGGACGGGGGGGCCGGGGGAGAAGGACAGGGGAACATGGGGAGGGACAGTTACATGGGGGGGGGACAGTGACATGGGGGGGTAGTGACATGGGGGGGATTTGGGGTAGTGAAAAGGGAGGGACAGTGGCAATAAAAATTCGGGGGGGGGGAAAAGGTGAGGGGGGGGGGGGGGGGGGTGGAGTGCCCATGGAGGGGGAACCAGGGGAAACATGGGCAGGGGCAGGGGGACATGGGGGGGGGGGCAGTGGCAGTGACATGGGGGGGGCCAGTGACATGAGGGGGGTGGCATTAAATTTTTGGGGGCAGGGGACTGGGTGGGCACTGGCAGGGGAAATTTGAGGGGCAGTAACTTGGGGGGGGAAGGGGGAAGTGCCCATGGGGGGGCAGGGCAGTGCAGGGGAAAGGCGGACATGGGGGGCAGTGGCAGTGAGGGGGAGGTAGGATAGTTTTGATGACATGGGCGGGCAGTGTGGGTTTGACGGGGGGGGCGGGTAAAATTTGGAGGGCGTGGCAGGGGGACATGGGGAGGACAGTGGCAGTGACAGGGGGAGGACAGTGTCATTTGGACCCCTGGGTCAGTGGTGGTGGACATGGGGGAAAGTGGCGGTACCATTGGGG